GCGAATACAAATGAAGCTGACCTAGCAGGGGAGGATCCAAAGAGAAGAAACTCTAAGGGTCCGCCTGCTAGGTAGCTGACTATATACTGCTTGTCCGTAGCTGCCGCTGTCGGGCACAGAAGGCTTGGGCGGCGTCGCAGGCGAGGTCCCAGGGCGACCGTCGGGAGGGCGTTGACGGATCGGTGATTGTGCGGGCGAGAGGGAGGGCCGGACCGGAGTCGGAACCGGAGTCGGACCGGAATCGGGCGCGTCTCCGGGCCGAAAGGGAGGTTCCCCTGACATCACCCCCCCCTTTGAATGCGGCGTCTCGACGCATAGACCGGAACAGAATCGAGTCGAAGGTCGCGGAGGCGATGTGTCGTGGCTTGCCAGGGTACTTACGGTAGAACTCCGCGATTTTCTCCGGGGCGAAGACGCGGTCGAAGCGGACCCATTGGTCGTGCAATGCGTCGTAGCCTTTCCATCTGACGAAGTAGTTCAGCCGTTTATACCTCACCCTTGCATCCAGGATTTCCTCTACTTCCCACTCCGGGACTCCGTCCTCGAGGTCCGGAGGGGGCTGGTTGTAGCCGGGGCGTCCGTCGAAGGGGTCGTCCTGGGCGAGCTCGAGCTTGACGACGGGGAAGACCGGGTGGAGCTTCGAGTAGCGCGGAGGGAGGTCGAGCTTGTAGGCACCTTTGCTGATCTCCGCGACTATCTTGAACGGTCCGAGGCGGCGATGGGAGAACTTTTCCGAGGGGCGAGTCGTCCTGATGTCAGAGGCATCCAGCCAAACACGGTCGCCAACCTTAAACTCCGGAGACAGAGTCCGTCTCCGGTCGTAGTAGCGCTTGTACTCCTCTTTGGCCTTAGTGAGCCGCGGCCTTGGCTTCAGCAACACCAGTGGCGATCCGGTCGCGGAACTCGTTCACTGACTCTTGTCATATCTATCACTCTATATATATTACAGTTATAATAATAGTTTCATTTTTGTGACATATGTAACTACCAGTCACTCTTTAGCTACTTCCCCAGAAAATTTCCTTCTTGGGGTGGATGTTACTCATGTCACACAGAGTGATAAACGTGACAAATGCACGATTTTGTCACACTTGGACTTAGACCCAGATACCAGGACAATTATAGCAGCTGTAGCAGCATAGGATAGGACTTAGTAGCATAGAAGGAAACTTAGAGCCTATGCTGCAGCAAGATATTTGAGAATTATTGCAGCATAGCTATTTTGCAGTCATCTCTTCTAATTAGAAGTGAGACCCCAGCGTAGCCTCACTTCTAATTAGAAGAGATATGTGGGATTAACAGGTGCTCTTCCAGGTCAGGCTCACCGGAGAGGGCATCACGGATGTCGCGGAGGAGTTCAGAGCCGGGACCGGAAACGGAAACGCCCTCGAGTGCGCGGACGTGGAAGAGTTCAGGCCGCAGAAGGACGACATCGGAGTTGTCGGAATCGACTCCGTGGTCGGGTCTCCGGGAGAGGGCGTCAGGCCGACCCATATCGCGGCCAGGCTTGTGGTGCAGCGTGAAATCGAACCGGGAGAGGTACAGGGACCACCGGGCCTGTCTCCGGTTGAGGTGCTGCGTCTTCCTGAAGCACTCCAAATTCTTATGGTCAGTCCAAATCTCGACAGGGTGCGCGGCGCCCTCGAGGAAGTGTCTATACTCCTCGAGTGCGCGGATGATCGCGAGCATCTCCTTGTCGTGGATTTCGTAGTTGCGCTGGACATCATTTAAGCTTTTGGAATAGAATGCTACAGGGTGCCACTTCCCGTCCGGGGCGGATTGTCAAAGAACCGCCCCCGTTGCATAATCAGAGCTGTCCGCCTCGAGTCGGAAAGGCTGTGCGTCGTCCGGAATCGCCAGGACCGGTTCCGAGGTGACCGCGTCCTTGATCGCTTGGAACGCGGAGGCCTCCGCGTCGCCCCAAGTCCACTGCTGGTCCTTCTTGGTGAGCACGAAAAGAGGGCGCGCAAGGGTCGAGAAGTCCCGAATGAACCTGCGGTAGAAGTTAGCGAACCCAAGGAACTGCTGAATGTCCTTCTTGTTTTCCGGAATCGGCCAAGCGGAGACGCCTGCGACTTTGACGGGGTCCATTTCGACGTGGTTGTGGGAGATGATGACTCCGAGGTACTTGATTGACGATTTTTCAAAGTCGCACTTCTCCGCTCCAAGGTACAACTTGTGCTCCCGGAGTCGCCGTAAGACCTCCTGGACAATCTGCCGGTGTTTCCGGAGGTCGGAATGGGCGATCAGGATGTCGTCAAGGTAGATCATGACGTCCCCGGAGAGGATGAGGTCCTGAAAAATGTCATTCATCATTGTTTGGAACGTCGCGGGAGAGTTTGTCAGGCCGAAATACGAGTTTGGTGAAGTAACGAGCGCCTTTGAGCCGGTTGATGAGGTCGTTGATCAGCGGAAGGGGGTACCGGTTTTTGACAGTCATCGCGTTGAGAGCACGGTAGTCCTGGACGAAGCGGAGTCCGCCATCCTTCTTCTTGACGAAGAAGACCGGAGACGCCATCGGAGACTTGGAGGGCGAATCCGGCCCGTCGAAAGCCCTTCCTCGATGAACGCGTCGAGCTCGCGTTGCTCGAGGGGCGAGATGGGGTACACCTTGCAGTTGGTGGGCTTAGCGTCGGGGACAAGCTCAATGGCGTGGTCCCAGGCTCTCCGCTCTGGTAGCGTGTCGAAGGACTTCTTGTTGAAGACGTCCTGGAACTCCTTAGCCCAGTCCGGGATCTCGGAGGGCGGTGGGGCGGAGTTCCTGGCAAAGGCTTCGGCCAGACGCTGTGAGACGGTGCTACCTGCGCGTATCTTCTCTGAGGGACGGAACGAGGTGTAGAAGATGCGGTCACCATCTTCGAGCTGGTCATCTTCGTCGTCCGAGTCCGAGTCTGGTGTCAGGTCAGGCAGGTCGGAGTCGAGACCGGAATCGGAATCGTCTTCATCCTCAGGGCCAGAGAGGTCCATAGTGCAGACTGAGGGGAACAGGCCGGAGCGGAGACGCTTCTGGAGGGACCGGAGTTGCCGCAGCTCAGTCCGTTCGATGCGCTCTTCCTCACGGCAGGTCGAGCAATTGCGGGGGCGCCGTGTCATCTTGACCTCCTTGGTTTCCCAATTGATTTCTGGGTTATGTTTCCGCAACCAGGAATACCCCAGGATGAGGTCTTGCTTGCCAAGATGGGTGACGGCCAGTTGAACTCGTTCGGCATGGCCTCTGTAGCGCAGGACCAAGTCCGCGATCTGTCTGATGGAGCCAGCGTCATTGGGGGTGCCATCGACATTGAAAACCGGAATCGGCTGATCGAGGGTGCGGACCGATCCAGCCCGGGACCGCCCGGTGCTCACCAACGTGATCGACCGATACACGCCGCTCATAACCGGCGTGCAAGGCACACGGCACCGAGCTCGCAGCGCTGCCGTAAGGAAGGAGTGCGACGGTCGACCAGGGCACCAGGCCGAGTCTGCCCACGGGCCACTTCCGGTCTAAGGCCAGCCGCCGGTCCGCGCTCAGCGCGATTCCCCTCGCCTCGCTGTCCTCCACGCCACCACCTGCCTATCCCGGTTAGCTTCAGCTGGCGTGAATGACGTGGACACAACTCACCGGGCACCCCGCCTCCTCCCTATTCTCGCTGTCCATCGTGCAGCACGGTCCATCGGGCTGGTGGGCTCACTGTCGCAGGGCGATGTCGGGGAAGGGGGGAGATGGTGGTGGTTGCGGAAAGAGAAGCGGTGGGGCGTCGTCACGTAGATCGTGTCACCCGTGTCGCCGTGGACGTTCCATGATCTTTACGAAACTGACAGTCGGCTACAAGCTGCCATCAATCTCACGAATGTTGCCATCTGATCTCACGAAAGCGAATCACGCGCCCGCTCACAAACATTACTATTACCCAGGGCGGTTGATATCAGGAAGTCGCACAAAGGTTGTATAGAATTCTTGTCCTGATAGGATATCAAGCATCTTTCGGAAATGTCTTGTAAATAATTAGCAAGTGAAAATGTTAAAGGCAGAAACAAACTCCGAAATAGTGGTGTGTGAGTGTTGAAAGTGTTCCGCCACATGGTCAATAGCCAAGCCAGTAACACATGTATAGAGGAAAATGGCCAATGATTCATCAAGAAAGATATGTGCTTGATCTGACTCGAGATAGCCCATCGCCCATATTTGGACAACCAAGGCCAGAAAAACATGTCGTCGCATCCCCAGTGCAATATAGATCCGGTCTGGATGCTCACTTGCAAGCAATTCATTTAGCCATAGCCGCCCAGTAAGTGCTGAAGTATGCATAGGTGTTTTGCAGTATTGGGGCTCTATATAGAGATTAACCCCTAAGATTATGTACTGGAGTAAGGCCATCACCATATAGGCCACCCATCGGGCTTGATCTGCAGCTGTTCGGGGTGGTGGGGGCATTGGATCGGTTGAGATCACGATAATCACGCATTATGTCACGGTACCATCAGCCATCATTTGTATTACATTACATTACATTCCGCTGTCCGTAGTGGCTCTTACTCTGTGCAAGGAGGTGCCATCGACTCATCGGGCCCGACATGACCCAATTTGAACCTTCGACCACCGACAGCGACAAGGGACCGAGTTAACGGGCCCTTTCGGTTTCGATCTGTTCTTAGGAGAGGTCCCTGCACGGCCTGACCCGCAGTCTGACACATAGTCTTATATCTTGTGCGAACTGGGTGCATTTATTTGCTATAAATCATTACCACAAAATTGTGAGCTGATATTGGCTTTGAGCTTATAATTATAACTCAATATATACCCCCAATTTCTTACAAATCATCTCTACTTTCCTGGAGTTTTATTTGTTATTGCTAAAATATACATCTTTTTTGGCCACTATGTATCAGAAAATCAGATACTTTGGGCCCATTTATGGGCAGAAACCTCGATGTGTCTTAGTAGGTACAGTGAATATGATATAAGTACACGACAATATCTGGAATACCATATTATATTCATGTTTGGCCAGCACTAGATCCTATGCATCTCTTAGAGATTCCCATGGACCGCTTGAAGCCGCCCGCAGCACGCGATGGACGTACACGAGCGCATCACCCTGCCTCTCCACAACACAAATGTTCCACCCGACTCCGAATCCCGCGTCCGCTGTCGCGCGCGCGCAGTAGTCCGCCCACACGTCGGGCTCAACGAGGCCTTCGAGTATTTCCGCAGCGTCGCGTAGGCCCGTGAAGTCTGCACCCGACACAAACGGGCGGGGACCGGTGGCCCCAGGCTCTGACTCGGACCCGGTCTTTTGTTGGCGGTAGTCGAATACGGCGACTGCCGGCCCCCGAGATGGGGCGGGATGGTCCCGCGCGTACTCCCGCGCCATGAGGAAGCGCACGAAAGAGCGGGTTGGGGCAGTGGAACAGTCCTGCAGCTCTGCGGTTGCTCATTAGCGATATCCTTCGGAGGGGACTCAACAAGTACAACGGACCAGTGTTTGCCTCGCGATACGCGGCGCACATTGCTCGGTGCCCGCCTGTGGTCCAGTCAGCCCGCTGACACGCCACGGAGCAGTAGCGGCGGAAGCCACAGACAGAGCATGCCCGCTGCTCGGCTTTGTCGTTGGAGGTGCACTGTTGTAAAGTGAGTAACGCGGCAAGATCAGCCGTGACACGCACCCCAACCGCATCACACAGTCTGCGATCGCGAACTTTGCGCACGGCCCAGAGAGACAAGCACTCCTCGAGGACCTTGACGCGGGTAAGCAGCGTGACGAACAGCTGCCGGACCTCCAGTGATGGCACACGGGGGAGCGACTGTTCGACCTTGGTGTCCCGCATGTCCTTGGCGAGGGCCGTGATGATTTGTGGATCCAGGAGCTCCGGCAGGAGCACATCCTGCAGTATCTCCGTTACCTCCTCTTCCACCTCCGTGAATTCGTCCGTCACAGAGCGTGCTAGCGCCACAAGGGCGGAGAGCAGCCCATTCGAAACCGCAGACTGCAGGAGGACAGCCGACAGGTCCTCGCCGAGCAGTCGTCTGAACAGTAGGAGCGCCTGGTTTTGCATCTCCTGGTGGAGATCTTCCAAATCGTCTGTCGGGTCGCTTCGCGGGAGCGCCAGGATGCCGAGGGCAGTCGTAAGCCCCGCGATGTACCGTGCGTCGACCAATCCATCCACGAAGTCCGCGTCGAGGCTGTTGTCTGCCTGGCGCTCTGCCACATCGAGCATGGTGCGTGCGGCCAAGACAAACGCGTCAATGCATGTCATCGCGCGTGGACTCACGTGGGATCGGCCCGCCCACCGGCGCGTAATTTTCCGCAGGTTATGGCCCAGGACCAGCGCCCACTGACCAGCGCCGCCAACACCCTCCAAGAAGTTCTCGACATTGATGTCGCCGTGAGGACTGCGCGCCTCGATGAACCTGAATATGAGAGAGCGCGCCTCGTCCGCTATCGCTCCATCCACAATGGTCTTGCTATCAAACATCGCTGCGAGTGCTTGTCCCAGCAGGAAGGAGAACCGCGGATTCTCCCAGATGCTCGGAATCCGGAGCCCCCTGAGATCCGTGATCCGGGCGTCGGCGCCGAGCGAGAGGAAGAGCTGCACGAATGTCACGCGCAGCGGTGTCGCAGCCAGAAACTCGCCGTAGGTGTTGAAGAAGTCCACCCACGGCAACATCCGGAGCCACAGCGCGGTATACGGCGCCGTCTTCGCCGGGCCGACCTTCTCGAGGAAGAACGCCAGGTATGCCGCCCCGTCCGCCATCGCCGCCTCCGCCGACGGGGCCAGCTCCGCAACTTCTTCAGCGGGCGGGATCGTTGCTGGGTCCATAAGGAAGTAAAGGGCGGGGAACATATGGCTTGTCTCTCGGCTGCCCGGGGGGAGCTCGTCTAGGATTGCTTTAAATGCCTTGACGGCGTCCGCGGGGGCAATCGCCCACGCATACGCGTCGCGCAAGGAGCTATAGCGACGGGAGTTACGACCAAGCACGCGTCTATGAGAAGGCCTTACGCGGGGGCGAAGAGGGAGTAACTCCAGACGCGCGAGGTGCAAGTCGGGATGTGGCACCGTCCGGGACATGATGGGAGGAGAGAACCCCCGATTGCCGATGTCACGCGATGGGATGATGGGATGTCACGCGGGCCAGATCCGGCCAGATTGATTTTCCTGCCCAATTTCTTGACACTCCATCAGCTAGTGTTGAGCATTATTACCTTTTATGTTTGGTAGCAAATATCATAATGATATCTGTTTATTTTCTATTATATGACAACTTCATAGTTATTGTCATGGCTTCAGAATTACACTGACTCGGAAAAAACAATTGAATCACCAAGCCTGTCACACTTTCAAATGATGCATTACTCCACAACTATGAAGGCAGTAGATGAAATTAGATATCCTGCACAAAGATTAGAGTATGTAGTTGATCCTGAAAAGTTTTAAGACATTTGGCCAAGTATCTGTGCTAAGATTACTGAGAAGATGTGAAAGAGTGATCCAATTAGAAAATGATCAAAAATCATTTTGATCTCTAGTTTAATGACATTGGATATCCATGAAATGTTTAGAATACTAATAATGAGTTGCTTCGTCCTTCTCCTTCAGCAATTCTTGCACTTGATTGGGCAAACTATTATATAGTTTGTCAATGAATGCCTGATCAATTTTTTTCCACTCCTCCTCCAATGCTGTCCACAATTCATTGTTGTTTGTAGGCAATACCTTGCAAACACATACCATTCGGTCCATGTGATCCCATAGATTTTTGATTATATTTATATTGGGGGAATTGGGGCACTATGGCAGGAGATCGAAGCCCTTGAGATCAAACCAGCCATGTGTATAGATGGAGGTGTGCTTCGAATCACCTCTCGCGCCGGCAGTAAGCTTTAAATGACATGCTTTCTCACAGCAGTGAGAAAAGACAAGAAAAATGCCACAGTTGTTCAAAGGGCTCTAACAGCAACTAGAGCTAACAGCTCAAGAGAAAGAGAAGAAAGGGAATATCATCAGTGATTGCCTAAAAGGCCTCTTTGGCTGGCGGCAGGAACCCAGGGGCCTTGGAAGGGCCACAGGCCTCTTTCCCAGAGGCCCTTGAGGCCCCTTTGATCATGATCATCAATTTTTGATAGATAGTGTAGATGCATTCCTACAACGTAGGGCATATAAGAATGCTACTTCTTGTAAGGGCAACCCTGGAGACTCCGACGAAAGCCTAGCAAGGGAGGATCCAAAGCGTGAATAAAAGCTACGGAGATACACGGAGGGACCGACCTAGCAGGGGAGGATCCAAAGAAAAGAAACTCTAAGGGTCCGCCTGTTAGGGCGCCAACTATATACTGGTCGTCCGTAACTGCTAACGTAGAGCGCAGAAGGCCTGAGTGGCGTCGCAGGCTCTGTTTTAAGGTGACCGTTGGGAGGGTCTTGATGAATCAGTGATTGTGTAGGCAAAGGAGGCCATGGACGATGGTCGGGGTAGGTCGGAGCGTCCGAGGGGGCGGTGGTCGGATGCGCCTCGGATGTGCTCGGACGGTCCAAAGGAGGCTGAAGTGGGGGTTCCCCTGACACTTCTCTACATGATGATTGTCATCCAAAAGGTACACAGTACCATCGTCAGGGATTGCATCAGCTTTAGCATTAGCAAGGTACAGATTATACAGATGATGTGATTAAGATCCAATCACAAGGGCCTTGCAAGGCCCTTGAGTCTGGTGGCCGGGAGCCCAAGCTGGCCAAGGGCCCCAGCGGTCTCTGCCATCAAAGGGCTTTGGCACCTTGGACAATCACTAAATATGATATTTAATGCTGTTGAGACTCCACTCCGGCTGAGCGTGGAGCAAGACATTCCGACGCTGCGTAAGCAAGCTTGCGTCATCACGCCGCGGCATCACGCGCATCAAACGCGTTCACACGCTCAACGGCGACGCGTCGCCGCCCCACTGACTCATCGGGCGCGGCCCCGGAACTTGATCTGACTCGCCCTCGGAGTTATTTCATTTCATTTTTAGTATATAAAGCCCTGTATCTTATAGTCCAGGAAGTTTTTTAGCTCCCCGCATTTATGATCTAAGTTCCGCCGTTCATCGCCGATATGTCCGTCCGGTCCGGAGCCCTCGCCGTCGCTCTTGCACTATCTCTCGTTGCCTTCGTCGTTGCGTCACTTACACCCAACAATACCACACACTGTACCACCACCAGCCCTCCAAGTCCTGGGTATGGATTGACCCTCGCATATTTATTTAGCTATTGGCTGCTGGGAGTAGTGATACTGACCTATTTTGGGTTAGCTCGCGCTCTCGAGCACGCTTGCAGCGCATCAATGCTACTTATCTACTACATGCCTTCTATACTAAAGCATATAGGAGAGAACTGAATGAAAGAAACAGGAACTAGGAACAAGTCCGGAAAGGCGGGACCGACGGATCAACGCTGACTAATCAGCGCTGATGAGCCTTAGAGGCTCATCACTGGTGGTCTAAGCTCAGCTTTAAAAATGGTTCTCAATTGTGTATAACATCCAAACTAAAAATAACAATCATAGGCTTATTTTAGAATAAGTATGTCCATTCTCCAATAGGGCTACTCCGATAGTGCAATATTGTTTGACATATTTACACTATTGAGATAAATTAGCAATAATAATTTACTTACTCATAGCCTTAGCAAAAGTTGTGACATCTGAGAGCTTATACCAATATAATACTTTATCAGCGTCATATGTTCTCAGTATGTCATACCGGAGTTTTGCCTAGTCCCGTTGTTTATATCCTGGTATTGTTTGGATAACATTCTGAACATCTATGGAACAGTATGACGAAATAAAGGCACATTGTTCACCCTCATCAGTAACTCAGGAGACTATTATTTTGCTCAACAAAACGTGCCACTACAGTATAATAAATATCCTGTGAATGTTTTTGGTGCATCTTTACTATCTGGAATAGGCATATCCAAGGATGTGCAAAGTGGTGCACTAAAACATATAGGTATGAGTTGCTGAGCAAAACTCATATAGACAGAAGTAGGATCGGAAGAAGAAGGAGGTAAGTCTGGCTAGGGTTGAGTATATTCTAATTCTGATCCTGAATCTTCCTCAGCTAATGAGTCATAATTTTTCCTTTCTTGTTAGACAATTTTGTTTAGCTTGTTAAAGTATGCATTCCTGATGTGGGCCTCATATAGATTGCTCTTGACCAGCAAGATAAGAAGTAGAGAGTGGGTCTGGGAAATTCCAACTAGTGGATATTTTGAGCTAGTATGAATAGTCAAGGCTTTGGAAGTACAAAGAAAGTATTTGTGTATATTATCTTAAAATATCCCTTACAGTGCATCTATCGGTTTCGCTTCATTCCCCTCGAGAGCTGGATAGGAATGACAGAAAATGGTTTTGAGGTGACCAAGGAGATCCTTGTTGGTGAGAGTGTAGAAAGTGTGCAAGTTGGTGAAGCCGAGGGTTAGGAGGAGAAGTGGGATATCCTGAAGCAGAAACTTATTGAAGGAGTTCAGGAAGAGAAACAATTTGGTGATGTCCTCAGTATTCCCCATGTGCTGCGTGTCATTTGGCTTCTGAAAGAAATTGAGTAGGTCAGCGATAGATATGACAGGACGTACTTGTTTCTTAGACATTTTATTAGCAGAGGGAGATATAGATGTAATGAGGATGCTCTGGATAGAGTAAGCAATAAGCACAATGCAAGGCGAGTTACTTACATCAGTTTTGTTTAAATACACGTGCAAATCGGTCTGTGTGAAGCATAGTGTGTTGATGGATTGGTTATCATTCATCATATTCTTCAAAATACGGGAAATATTGTGAGGTTTGAGTCTAACCGCCTCGGCAAGTATGTTGTGAGCAGAATCGTCATATGCGGCCGCTGATATGCAAACCAAGCCTCTGCTTGGTCTATTTGTCGATGAATAAGAGAAAGAGAAGGCCAGCAAAACAACTTACTAATACTTCTGGAGAGTGGGCGGATTTGGGGATTCTTCAGAGAGCAAATCGATGGTCTTGCTTTTGCTTTTCAACGAGGTGGCAGCACTGCACTGTCAGCCGGACAATGCAGTACGAGGGGGGGCAAGTTTAGGGTCGGGGTCGAACAACTCGAGTGAGGACGAGACTAGTTCGTCAACTTGCTCTGAGTCGGAGAGTAATTAGTCAACTTGCTCCGAGTCGGAGGAGGAGATGTCTGCATCTGTTTCCTTAATATAAACTGCCACCTTTTTGCTACGGTCTTTTGCGATAATGGCAAGAGGGATTTCTTCCTCGCTACTCATAGCCTCCTCTTTGACTGGCTGCATGGCAACCTAAACTACTAAAGGCTCTCAGCCAGACTTATAAGCCAGTAGACTAAATAAGAGACTGCAGTGGAAAGTCTGGAAGTCAGAAACCATTCAGAGCTTAAGTTAATGCTCAATATGCACGTGCTTGAGTAAGACACGCTCGTCTGGATTCGTGGGGGTGGGCAGTGAGAGGGTTTATCAAGCCTATTCCTACTAAGTGGTCAGCTGAAATCCAGGGTCATTGGGTGTGTAACCAAATGAGTTATTTCTTGTAACAATTTCAACAGCCAATAAAGATAGAACATGCAAGAGTCGCACCTGCTACCAGTCCGCTAGTCTATCCCATCATTGCTGTGATTTTTCACCATAATCATGCTGTAAGCGGTCACGTGATCTTTATATTTCTACTGACGCTAACCTGTTCCAACTATTACTATGTCTGATATTGAGGCTTAAGCAAGGAGGACCTGGGGAGAGGTTTGTTTCAAACACAGGCATAGCTCAAAAAGTAAATATAGGGTGGTAGATATATGGGTCAAGATGGGGCACGTGCACCTGTATGTCCCATTCCCCACTGTGAGTTATTGGGTCCACAGCATCCATGCCGGAGCGCGAGATGACAATTAATAAGAGATTAAAGTAGAGAGTGAGGGCCGGGAGGGAAAGAAAATGAGCGGACGACGCGGTACTCGATGCGCGTCAATTTGGTTGATTGGCGAGAGCAACTGGGGATAACTGCACCGCTTTGGTCCTCGGTCCGGGTTACTTGCGCCAGCCATCTCACAGTGCGCAACCCA